TTTATTTTGATAATAAGCTTTTGTGGAGCTTTTCTTAGAACTTAAAAATATTACGAAACTAGCGACTCACTCTAGTTTCGCTCGGGTTCATCCCTAGGCAAGTTTTAACGGTTAGTGCGGAGTAGATAGATCATATATTATATATACATAGGTACAAAATACACAGTACTCAATTTCTCGATTTTCTAGCTGACCGATTTTTTTAATATTTAAACTAACCCTGACCCAGATTTAAATAATTCTTTTTTTTTTGTTAGGAATATTCCCAACAAAACAAAAAGTATTGTTCAAATCGGTCCGGCCGTTTTTGAGTTTTAGTAAGACTAACGAAATGCATTTGATTATATGTATATATATACATATAATCAAATGCAGTTCGTTAGTATATGTATATGTGTATATATATATAAATGTTATCAATTTTGTTAAAAATATTCAATCAACAACTATGAAGTGCAATACAAGGGTCATTTTAAAAAGGAAATTCAGTCACGTTCGAATCCGTCTGTAGAGCAATTTAATACCTGTACCAATAAAATATTTTAAGTTTTCAATTTGCGACACGCGACAGACTGCGGACACGCCGCCGGAGTGTTAGTTAACAATAGATTTCTTAGAAATTTTAATTAATTTCTTAAAAATTTACCTGGAGGTGTTAATAATTTATTAGATACTACGTACCTATATATATATATATATATATATATATATATATATATATATATATATATATATATATATATTTGACATTCGACACTGTTTTTGGAGATTTTATTTTTATTTTTTGTTCCCAATCACTTAACTCAATGGTGTAGTTGAGTAACCAAAAAAAAATAGTTTTATTTAAGCCGTAAAAGCATATAATGTAGGCATATTTGGTGTTGACGTTCTAGACAATTAAATTAATATCTTTTTAGATTTTTTCCCTTGCAGGTATTTATATTTAAAATAGAGAAAAAAAAACAAAAACAACATAAAAATGGAAAAGCAAATAAAAAATCCAAAATGAGTTGCCTCTGTGTTTCCTGTTAACTGTTAAAGATGTGAGATACTCAACAAAGGTACCATTCGGTCTTTTGAATTAAAGATTCAAAGGAAATGGTGATGGTATTTCATTCTGTGAAATATGTGCCACATAAATTGAGCCGAAATGGCCCCAATTTTTTTATTCTTCGAGCTAACTTTTAACTTAATATATTTAGCTACTTGCTTTCAATTCCTGCTAACTTTAGAAATACAATCAAAATTTAAAATAAACTTTATATTTATTTTGCAACTTTTACGAATAAATTGGAAATTTAAACACGTCTAATCCAGTCTATGGCTCCAATTATGGCGTAGATCCTAAACATACAATCCCAAGCACATATTTAGATTAAAATTTGACAGATTGTAAAAATAATATCCTATGCTAACGTTTTGAAAGCCAAAATAATTTAATGTATTATTTTCAAATATGTTTTAAGTTTTTTAATATTTTATATAAAATTATATAAGAGAATATAAAATTACGGGTAAGTACGATTAGGTATATACACACTAATTTCAGTTGATATAAAGTTCTATATATGATTTTTTTTGCCATTTTATAAAAACTTGATTCTTATAAAACACAATTTTTCTCTGTCCATATGTGACTTTGTGCGATCATTACTTTTTTTATTAATGTTATCTATGTTTTGCATTAACTGTCCAGATTTTATATAAAAACTAGCATTCTTTCAAAATCCCTCCAGTGGTTTTTCTGTGATGCGGTAACAGACAGACAAACAAAATTCTAAAAAACCATAGATTCGGCTTAGTTACAATTTTATTACCTATATGTATAGATATTTAGAATAGAGAAGTTTATATTAGCAATAACTATAACTAACAAATCTGTTCTATTTATTAAAACCTATCTAAGAGAACCTAGGAAGATTTCGAAAGACATGATCCCCCTCGTTTTGAAGAGAGGCCCGTGCCCAACAGTGGGATGTTAAAAAAGGATGAATACAATAACAAATAACAATAATCGCAACACAGCGTAGTAATATAAATGTTCAAGTGCATTTATTAGTTATTTCAAAATGTCATAACACCTATATTAATAAAAATTGCTAAATATCTTGAAAAAAAATAACCATTTGACAAGAAATCTAAATGAATGCTAGTTTTTCTTATTTCTTAAGCAATATTACACTCACCATACGTTATAAATGACCCCTATAAATACAGATTGAGATGTGAGAGCGTTTCCTTGTACACCCCTCATGTATGTGAGACGGGTGGAGATTATGTTTCAAATTCCGACTGACAGCTATTGTTTACCATAGAAATGATTAAAATCTAAATGCTTCACCAGACCTATCATTTTATATCAATACTTATGTTAGTTATAAGCAATGGTGTTATAAAGTATAACGTCATTGGTTATAATATATTATATAAAAAAAAATTGTTTTATATTTACTGACAAAATTCTATTGTTTGTGGATAATAACAGAGTAAATAATAGCTTTTGTTTTTAATGTGCAGTATTTCAAAATGGCTACACGGATGTAAATTTTTTTATACTTGCTTATTTTTTCCTAACTTCAAAGCAGCACCAAGATTCATTTCAGCCAGTATTAAATGAAACAGAAATTTAAAACTATGAGCTTAATAAAAGAACTCTTGGAAAGAAAAGTGCTTAAGGTTTTATTTAATAGAGCGCCCATCTCCTTCTAACGGTATATTACAAGTTTTAATAAAACGAATGGAATTAAAACGAACAAACATCGTAAAGGTAAAAGCCTTTCTTTGTCGCAAGCAATAAGAGAAGTGCATCGAGGTGTAACTGTTTCGATAATAAGAGCCCTTTGGAACTGAAATTAAAACTACTTCTTTTGTAATAGTTTTTCTTCTCTATGCAATAATGTGTTTAATATTTAGACAGACAGACAGACAAAAATTCTAAAAATTATAGATTCGGCATCTGTATCGTTAATAATGACTATTTAAATAAGATTTTCCAAAAATATTTAATTCGACTCAGAATTTTATTATACATATGTTATAGATTTAAATATTTCTATGGGGTAAAGCAGTATTCGGGAAATAACTAAATATGGTATTATCTGTATATATAATAAAATTGGAAAATCTTATTGAAATAGACAATATTATCGATACTGAGGCTGAATCTATAGTTTTTAGAATTTTTGTCTGTCTGTCTGTTACCGTATCACAGAAAAACCACTGGACAGATTTTGATGAAATTTGGTATGGTGATATCTGATTATCCGGGTCAACATATAAAATACTTTTTACAGCGGGAAAATATCTCACTTTTGAGAAAAAATAAAAAAAACTGCTATGTAAGAGTATACTAATATGTAAAACCTAAGAATTTGTTTTTTGGTCATCTGAACGCGGGCGGAGCCGCGGGCAAAGCTAGTAATGTATAATAGCTGGTTTATTTTATAAAAAGGGTACAAAATATACTTTAAATTCTTTACATATTGTCATTAAATGTTTGAACAAACACGAACTATTTGTTTTTTTAAGAGAGCACCGAGCTTTTGGCGCTTAATGAATTTAGTAGGACTAAAGAGGGCAGAGCGGAAGTGTGGCTAAGATGTACGGAACGCGTGCGAATTTAGGTATTTTCTTCGTATAACTAAAACAAATACACATTTTGAAAATGTAAAGTGTAAACGATATAGAAAACGTATAGTTTTATTATTATTAAAAAACTGATGAACTTCCTTGAATTAATTACGCCGCACTAAGGGTTTATTTTATTTTTTAGAGATCATTTTGGTATTTTTTCTATCAAAGAAACTACAAGTAATCTGTTTTCTAAAGTGAACGGTTTATAGAATAAATCCTTAAATATCCTACATATTATTTGCACAATTAAAATTTTAGTTATAAAAATACAGCAAGGGATCAAACGATCGCAATCATTTCGTAATTACGTTTCGCTGCCTCGGTGCGCCCTTGAGGGCCACGTTTTAGTCTAGTTCTCTCAGTATCGGAGATTTTCTGCAATAAAATCATAATAAGAGATAGACGTTACTAAGTGGGCGACGTTTCAGCCTCGTGAATAGAAGTCTCCGTGACGTAAGCCACGTGATCAAAATCGATCAGATGGAAATGAACACTTTCAAAATTAAAATTACCTACTATAAAAAAGAGTGAAGGCAGGAATTAAGTCAAACAAAGATGTACGCGTGGAATAATGGCAAGAACGGTAACTGCATTCCGCCGGAAATGCCGATATATTATATTAAAACTAGTTACAATTATTTTTTTCGGGGCAAATGTACAAAATATATTATAAATAAAAGAAAATATTAAATTTTATTATTAATAAACTATGTATTTACTTAACGATAATTTCAGTTTTAGTAAAATCAAATTTTACTTTAAAAACAGTTTTTGAGAAATGAGGTCGAAGACCGTAAGCTGAAGTAAACGGCCATAGAGTCTATAAGTTTGTATATATATTTAAAATAAAGAAGTATTGGACGTAAACAAGTTACAAATTTACCGGCGTTTGAGAAACCTATAAATCCGAATCTTGAAGGTGCCATATTGTAGCGCTTAGGAAATGCCTTGAGGGGAAGATTGTTCTACAACTTGCACGTACAAGTCAGCTTATAATATAAACCATACATAATATCTACATACATATATTTCGTGCTCGGTTATGACAAAAACATACCAAAAATCGACATTTGTTAGCAAAATAAACAACGAATTCGGAATAGAAAAGATATATATTTGTTTTAATTTATTTATACTCTATTATCAAAGATTTATTTATCGATTATTTTACTAAAAACTTTTTTGTTTACGATAAATAAATACACTCAAAAAGGACACGAAAGAAATAAACTGTATGAAAGCCATAAACTGTTTAGAAATTCCAATTTACGATTTACCAATTTTCTAAATGTCATAAAAAGACGATAAAATAAATTAAATTCGCTCGTATTTTTAATGGCTTGCTAAAGATTATGCATTAGTTGTGAATGGATATGGAAGGATACGTTGTGCTATTGCTAGGTGAGTATCTTGATTAATTTTTTTTTATTAGTCTTTTATATTGTTTTACTTAGAATTAAAAAAAACATAAATAGCCAATATTTTAACGTGTTTTTATTATCTTACTTTGTACTAAATCTTATATAGATTTGAAATTATTTTAACCTACTTCTGACTGTTGAATCGATTTAAAACTGTGTGTCGATTAGAATTGTGTGAATCGATAGAATGAGATAGAATTAGAAGTGTCTGATTGATTTAAAAAGCAACACAAAAATTGGATTCCCTCAACCTCATCTGATAATGCAACCAGGAGGTAAGGAATTCTTGTTACATATTCATTTTTACACAGACAGTTAAAAACAAAAAATAAATATACAGAAAGTGACGTGGGCAAAGGTGGACTTATCTCTATAGGAGATCTCCAGTCAACCCATGCATGTGGGAAAAAGTATTTTCAACGATTTCTAGTAAAAACTTCGAATTTGGGCTCATTTGAAACGCTTTCACGAATCCTAGCCTTTGCAGCTTATCATAACCATAGTTATTTTTTTTTATTATTTTGACCCATATGGTTTATTATTTTACATGACATAATTATAACAGAGTATGTAGTCAAGAGAAAAGCTTTGGTGAAACATAAATTCAAACAAATTTATAACTGATTTCTAATTAAGAAAATATTAATTCTACCCCTATTCCCTTACAGAATGTAAGGGAATAGGGGTATGATAATTCTTATCAATAAATTATTACCCTTAGTATTATGCTAACAGTTCACAATTGGCTATTTGCATAATACAAAACGATTCCTAAAATATGATTAAAAAAGATATTAGTCCGTCTCTCTGACTACTTGTATCTTTGTAATAATCTCCGAAACGTCTTAACCGATTTTAATGAAACTCACACAAGTAAATAGAGGTTTAGGTACTACAGTGGTGGTACAGTTCTTGGAGAGTCCAATCCTCGTAGTGTAGCTTTCTAAATATACCACATATAGCTTAATTCAAATCGACATAGACATACATTATTAATCTATACATATAATAAAATTCTAAGAAGAATCTGTACATTAGATATTTTTTGGAAAAAGTTATTTAAATTGCCATTATTATCGACACAGAGGCCGTATCTATAGTTTTTAGAATTTTTGTCTGTCTGGGAACGCATCACAAGAAAATCACTGGGCAGATTTTGATGAAATTTGGATGTAATGATGATAGCTGGCTATCCATGTCAACATATAGGATACTTTTTACTGCGGGAAAATATCTCATCTCTGAAAAATGTATTCCAACCGTTAAAGCGTAACTAGGGACGAATCCGACCGGAGCGAGGGTGAATCGTTAGTTAATTACTATAATTGAGTCATCAATATCTATGCAAAAATAATTGACTAAGTATGATTATTTATTTAAAATATTTTAGTTTCTATCGGAGTTTTAACCGAAGCCTATCGACCTTCAATAAAAATATATGAAATTCGGGAATCAAAGAGTCCTCCCAGCCTTGATGATCAATATTATGATCCTGAAAACTTTAAGCTTGACTCTATTACCAAAGATGATGTGAAAGTTGAAAAAGTTATTAGCAAGGTTATTGCTAAATTACAAAACTTATCAAAACGTGAACGTGATAATGATAAATATAGTGAAGATGATGAATTTGTTGATAAAACTCGTAATTCACCATTACTGATAGTTAGAGATGACATAAGTATGTGAGTACAATGAACAATTATTTTATAACTTAGATTTTGACCGACTTCAAAATGGGAGGTATTTAATTTTTGTGGTTTTGTGTTTTTTAAGTGATATTTTCTGCAATGGAGAACAAAATTTAACGATCTTTTTTTAATTTCATACTTAAAATAATTAAATTAAAACCTTAAATTAATTATACTTAACCCCTTATGGTGTTATTGTATGGTTGGTGGCTACCATATATTATAGTCACACAAGGTCTGTGAGACCCGAATCAAAATGACCTTTAATAGTGAAATTTTGGAAAACAAAGTTCTTTTTAAAAAAAATTTTAAGGAAGACTTAATCTTTGGTTAAAAAGATATTTTGAGTCTTAGATAGTTTTTGTACCTACCAGAAACAACCTGATATTTCTTACCACGACAGTTGCACGGTAGTTGCATGGTACAGAGAAATGTGAGGAATAGGAAAGAACAAGTTAATATGAAAGTTTATTTGTATGTATGATTGTCACTTTTTTAAGCTGGACGGCTGGATGTATATATTTGATTAAACTCAAGTATGCAGAATATAGACTTGTGTTCAAAGGATGACTTAGCTCTTTAAGAGTTTTTTACCAGAAATCCTCGATAATGAAAAAAATAATGAGATACAATATACTAACTTCAATACATGTATACATTCTTACATACATAAAAATGTACTTATATACATACCTAGGGATGCGACTGAGTGAAGCGACATTAATTCACCATAATAAAAAAATATTATTGAAACTGCTTTACCTACAATTAGATAGCTTATTTACTTTAGATAATATTATATGTGATATGTTACAGGAAAGCAAAGACGAGGGATTTATTGCAACGTCTATTAGGATCTGTACTACGGAGTCGAATCAGTGGTAATGTTAGCCATAACTTTTATTATTACAAGCTTTTATTTACCTTCACTTGTAAACGGGTATGTGCGAGACAAATCTTGCAATTACATTTTGCAACATTTTACCCCCAAACATTTGAGTTGAAAGGGAAACTCGTTTAGTTTTGGTGACATAGCACGATGAGGCTAAAGATGTCATACTAAATCCAATATGGCCGACGTACCAAGATGGTGATTTATTTTTTCCACAATCGTTTCCAACAATTAATATAATCGTTTTTTTAGTTAAAAAAAAGGTTTTCATTTCCTTACTTTTTCTGCGCGTCTAGCGCCCTCTATAGCCTATACCCTTCTTTATATATCTTTCTTTTATTAGTAAGGAGCATAAAACGCGCTTTGAAAATTTTATTTAGTCGCGTTTTTTTTTATTTTTGGTTCCCGACATTTTGTCACTGCTGTTTGTAACAACTATATAATGACCTCTGAGAGATCTAAAACCTTAGTCTCTCCCTTGACTGTAATTATTGTAAAGCATTTGAACTTCTGGTACCAAAAATCAAAATAAACGCAAAACAAAAAAAAAATAGTTTTTATATCTCTAAGGATTGTAATACTTAGATACTTTTTTCAATTAATTATTATTTCATAATATTATGTGTTTTTCAGACGTAGAAGATAGAACAGCTCCTCCTCGACCAGGGCCATTAGAATATTATGATTATTAAGCAGCAACTTATATGTGTTCAACTACGTAGTAATTCATAATATAATTAAAAAAAATATTGTATATTAAAATATGTTTTAAAATTATATAACGCTTATATTCATTTCTTTTAAGTTAATTTGTGCATTTGTCTTTTGCAAAATAAGTAGAGTATATCATGGATATAGCATTAATTTTGGTAAACTCACCATATTATAAAAATGAATACCTACCTATTCCGAAAAATTAATAATATTATAAGTTAATATTATAATACTAAGACATGGGCCACCAAGTGCGTCTTATAACTTAATGCCAGGTTGGACTGATGGAAGCCACGGAAGTACTGAAACACAACACGTCCAGGTGAAAATATAAAATGTTTTTATATGTATATATGTTGGAACATTAACTCACAGCACCACCTAGTTCCATAGTAAGCTATGAGGCTTGTGTTATGGATACCAGATAGCTAGTTGATACACTACATATAAACAACTTTAAAAACATACGTATCATAGACATAAACGTGGGGACTGGAGTACAAACATTCGTGCTCATCACACAAATGAATGCCCCCAGCGAGACTCGTACCCGCGAATACTAGGCACAACAAGTATGGTCACTACAAACTGAGCCTAACGTGTCGTTAATTTTATAGTTCACAGATATATGTATACGTAAATTCATTTATAAATACATTAATCATTCTGATAGATATTTCTTTTTTACTTTCATTTTTAAAACTATAAAATTTAATAGTCTTTTAATGAATTAAATTATATATTTTTATTATTATAATACATATTATGTTTTCTGAAAATAAAAAATGCTACACAAGGTTATAAGGCACAAGGTGTGAATGATATTACGAAATTGCTTCCGAAACAATCTTCTAAATCCCGTCAAGCTAAACTCAAAGCTTAAGGCACCGTGACAGTCACATTCCCCGGGAATTCAATATGAAAGCAATACTTGCCAATACGTGAATCCCGCAAAGCCAGGTAACAAATGGAGGCCATCCCGCACAATCCCGCTATTCCGGGTTCATGCGGCGCTTATTCAATTAGCGGCTGAAAACTTTGTTTTTATTTGTACCGTTTCTATTTGTTTTACGGAAAAATATTTGTAATAACACTCTCCATTCAGATGAAAATATCTGGCGTTAATACTACGGTAGAAGAAATAAAAATATTTAAATAGTACGGACGTTTTAATGTTATTTTCGCTGCTCTTTATTTTGGTTGAATCTGTTTTTTTATATATGCTATGCGATTTTTTTTTGTCAATTTTGGTAATAGATAGAGAGAACCATTCAGCCTTTACTGAAATTTAAAAATAAAATTCCACTCCCAACGTACTATGGATGATAAAGTATTAATTTAAGAAGTCATAAAAATATTTAGTTTAATTTCATTATAGCAATAATATAAATTCCTTTAATTATGATTTACATTTTTTTTATTTCACTTGTGCAAATATTACTAACTACGCGTATCTTCAAGACGTCTCGAAGACCACTATAATACCACTATTATGCTTACTCTTTCTCCGAAACAGATTAACTAGATGTACCACAGTCTCTCTTGGAGGAACTTCGTACAATTATGATAGAAATTCTCTTAACGTAACGTGGTCGTTGAGAAATTGTATTGTATGTATTCAGCCCTTTTTAACGTCCCACTACTGGGTACGGGCTTCCCTTTAATATGAGGGGGATCAGGCCGTAGTCCACCACACTGGGCAAGTGCGGGTTGGCAATACAATAATTAGTTCAATTATCTATATATTAATAAGCAAGAACAAAACAGTTCAGACCTTTTTATTTTCTGTTTGCGAACCGATTTTCTTCTTATGTTTAGTAGATATTTACGAGCTTTAGTAGTAGATGTGTTATCAAAAAAAAAAATTGGAAACAATTAATTTTTATAGGTAGGTAAATTCTACTTATATATGATGTCCTTAAAAATTTCAATAAAGATTATAGGCGATTAGTAGATTTTTTTTTAAATTAGAAATAGGTTTACTCTTGACCTTCATCTTAGCTCGAAGGCACAGATAAGGTCTACAATCTAGCGAGTTAGCCCAGGAGAAGCCTGTTAACACGCACCTTAAATAGATTAAAATAAAATCTAAATAGATAGTTGCATTTTAGATCCACGTATATACAAATTTTATTATACGATTATTTGAATATAAGATATGGATTCTGCATAAAGGATAATTTGCTAGTCTTTGAGGCACCGGCACTTATTATTTTTTTGTAATTTGAACAGGTAAAATAACTGGATGTTTTAAACAGCAAAATTATCTTTGAAAATTAATATGCAATTATTTGAAACTCTTTTTTAATTTAAAAGAAAACACCAATAATACGCTTTATTGCAAAGTGGATTTGACTCTATAATATAATATTCTCACCTAGTCTGTTGGACGAACTACAGTTGTGTTACTTATTATGTTATGAAAATAACAAATTTCCAAATCTAGTTTACGTTTCCGGTCGGTTCGTTAAATTTTTTGCTTTTTACAGGTTTTAGTTTTTTCTTTATTTAGAAAATAAACACACCTATATTTTTATAGATACTAATTATTTGGCTGAAGATAGCAGGTTCATCTTCGTACGAAGCTTTTTCACTGTGCACATACTTGTTCTAGTACTGATAGCAAAGGGTGCCTTTTGTAACTGCCACGGTAGAGTTAAACAGTGACAAACGTAGGTATTACGTAAAACGATAAAATTAAGATGTCATTTTACGTAGTCAGTAGTAAGTTTAATGTAAGAAAGAGTATCAAACGAAGTATACAAATCTATCAATTTAAAAAAAAGTTATTTTAGGCTATCTACGACTTAGCTTCGCTTTGGTTTCACTAGATTTCGTGCCAAAAATATAATTCAATAATATACTATTAAATTTATGGGATAATATTGACTTTTAACTCAAAAAGTACATCGATAAAAAAAAGATTTGTCGAAACTAAACAAACTAAATAGAATACCTCCTCTTATAATGAAGTCGGTTAAAAAGTATCAATACTCTTGTAGCTCGACCAATAAAATAGTTGACCTACACAAAATCCAAAAAAAAAATGATTGATATAAACAGACAGACAGACAGAAATTTAATAGTACTATATGGTCTGATTTTCATAATGCAAATATAGACATGAGCTTATTAACTATTGCAATCGCGATCAAAGATTTAAGTTTTATTAAAAACAGTACGTTTTAACGATTAGTATAGAATATATAGACTATATACTGTTATATATGTACAAATATTTTTTTTTCTACTTGACGTATTGTTGTAGATGGTAGGTCCACCACTATTGAAAGTAATCCGAAGTAGTGTCCCATACAAAATAACCAGTTCTGAACTTTTAGATTTTCCAGCTGTAATTATGGCTCTTTCCTAAATTTTTTTATATTTAAACTATCCCTGATATACCACCAACTAAACAAAAAAAAGAATGATTCAATTTGGTTCAGCCGTTTTGGAGTTTTGGCGAGACTAACGAACAGCAATTGATTTTTATATATAAAGATGATAGATGGTGAAGTTAGTGACTTCTTATTTCTTCGGTTTGGGTGGAAGATGACGGGACATGCAAAGTCCCCCCGAAAATGCAAATAAAAAAAGAAGTTTTTTAAAAAATTTCACCACTCGTACAACACAATCGAATCGGGACAAAAAGCAATCAAAGGAAACAAAGAGACAATACGGATCGCCGGTCACGTACAGTATCCGATTTCATTAGCCGGCTAACGAACTGAGCGGAGCAACTGTGATTGATTTTACAGTCCGGCTTGATTAGCATACAATATTAAAGCCCTCGTGTGACTAAAGATTCGTTGCTACAACAAAGGAATTGTTTAATTACATTAAAATTTTATTTTAGACTCGCAACCAACCCTCGTTTCGCTCGGATGCGTCTCTAGATGCCTTTGGTATTTATAATATTACTAGCGACTTACCGTCGCTTTGATTAAATTTTTTAAGTGGAACCCTAATTCTTTTAATAAATAAAAGTAGCTTTTGTTATTCCTTATAAATTCAGTTCAGCCGTATTGGAGTTTATCCGGAACAAAGAAAAAGACAAAAATTTTAAATTGCTTTTTCTTATACGTGTATACTTTCATATGTATTAGTAGAAATCTGGTATTTTGATATTACAAACAGACGCTTCAATTTTGTTTATCTGTATAAATACATATATGCAGTTTCTAACTATTACCTACAAATAGTAACCTACGTGTTGTATCTCCATGTCATAGTCTAACTTCCTCCACTTAATATGTCCCTTCTGATAATGAAAGAGCTATGTAGCATCCGGCAACTAAGCTGCGCGTAAAGCTAAGACTAGCATTTAGGAGACGATGATGATACACCTGGTACTCTGTGATAGCAGAGTGGACTGCGAGAGAGCCTTTGTACAGGATGGGAGGGGGTTTGCTTTGTTAGCTGTTTCTTAGCAGTTGTTGTCAGGTCGTTGGACGTCAGACGAAGAAGATTTCGTTAGATTTTATTGGTACTAGTTTTTCTAGGTGGTAACCGCTGCATAACTACCTGACCAAGGTGACAGACACGCAGACACGTACGCACGTGGTAAAAGTAGTGTGATAAATAATGTAATATTTTAATAAAATAATAAGCCCTTATTGAACTTTAAGGCAGACGAGAAGTGATCAAAGTCTAAAGTTTCAAAAGCTCACTCAAAAGTCAGCTTCAACAGGTTTGATACAAGTGAAACTGCAGGCAAAATCTATTACCATATTTTTTAATACCAATTAATCTAAAGACAATTAAGGCTTACACTCTGCGTATCCAAAACAAAAAAAAAATATTAGATTTTTTTGGAGTTGTATTATCGTAGAACACCTTAATATTTATTAAAACAAATACAAAATACTAGTATGGTTAAATATTAAAAAAAATCTTTTTAGTTACATTATCTTTATATTAATAGAGTATAGTTGTACAACTTTGATATAGTTATATGAAGCCAACTTGTGCAAAC